GGGTGACTCTGGCTCGCACTGCGCTGCAGGTGGAGGTGGAGGCTCACGGTACCGCCGACCTGTGGAGGGGCGAGTTCGATGCCGCTTGTGAGTGCCGGGGGGGACCTGGGGGAGGACCGAGGGAACCCCCCCCCCACTGCCACTCACTGAAGTACCCCCCTCCTCGCAGTCATCGAGGACCTGACCCGCAAAACGGGGAATTTCAAGCAGTTTGGCATTTTCTGCAGCATGCTGGAGTCAGCACTGATGCAGGTGTGGCTGCGCCACTCCCCTACATGGCATTTTGGGGGCAAATGTGGTGGGGTGTGTGTCCCACTGAGCCTCCCCCACTTTTCAAACACCCTGCAGAGCAGCGAGTCCGTCAGCCTGGAGCTCCTCACCTACGCCGACCTGGAGACCCTGCGTAGCCGGAAAGTGGGGGCAATCGCCCGGCCTCCCCCTTCCTCCTCTTCCCCCCTCAGCACCAAGCGCTACCTTATCCTCGTCTATTCTGTGGAGTTTGATAGGTGACAGGGAACACTGGGCAGGGGTCATGGAGGAGTGACACCAGCCTCACCCCCTCCACGTGCTCCTCCCCAGGATCCACTACCCGCTGCCGCTGCCTTACGTCGGGCGGCCGGACCTTGCCACACTGGTGCGGGAGTTGCGGGAGGAGCTGGCACGGCTCCGGGCCCGACGCCTGGAGGAGATCCAGCACCTGCGGGACGCGTGAGTGGGGCCTGCAGCACTCAGAAGGGTTTGGGGGGTTCAAGGTGAGGAAGGAGCCCCCAGATTACACCCTGCCATCCCCCTCAGGCTGCGACAGGCACTGGAGGAGAAGCAGGCGGCAGAGGCCCGGCATCAGCGTGAGCACCGTCAACTGGCTGCCCAGGTGGGCTGGGAGGGGATGGGAGGGGCCTGCAGGTCCCAACCTGCTGGCAGCGGGAAGGGGGGCTGCCGGATGCACAGTGAACCTTTTCCCCCACCTTGCAGCTGGCCGAGGCAAAGGCATCAGAGCAGAGGCTGCAGCTGCGGGTGAAGAGCCTGACAGCCGAACTGGCCTCCTGCAGGAGGGGGTGAGGTTGGGGTGGGCTGTACAGGGGGACCCTCATGACCATGGGATGTCCCCCCCTCATGGCACTGGTCCTCTTGGCAGCCGCCGGACATCTGCCAGTACAGCCCCCTGCCCCCAGGAACGACGCTCGGCATCCCTGGAGAGCCACAGGAGCAGCCGGGGCTGCCCCTCTCTGCGATCCCCATCACCTGCAGGTGTGGGTTGCTTGGGGGGACACACATGGGGTGGGGACAGGACATGGCTCACCCGCTCCTCATCCTGACCCTCTCTTTCTCACCCCTTCACCAGGCTCCCGCCTCCCACGCTTCGACCCCACTGCCTTCGTCAGGGCCCGGCAGCGACGGCAGAAGGAGGCTGAGCTCAGAAAGTAAGCGGTGACAGTGAACTTGTCACCATCCCACTGTCCCATTCCTCCCCAGCACTTGGGGGATCCCCTGCTCCCACTCACCATCTCCCTTGGGTGCAGCCAGCGGCACAGGGCAGCTTTTGGCAGCTCCAGTCCGGTGAGGAGCCATGGGCGCAGCTCGTCGGGTGAGTGGGGAGCATGAAGAGGGCCAAGGGGCACCCACTGGGTGCTGGTGCTCCTTCCTCAACTTCCTCCCTTACCCCCATTTCTCCCTGCAGCCACAAGCTTCCGGAGCTGGTGCTCGGCAGTGAGCTCTGGCAGCAAAGGCAGTGAGTGCCCCGAGGCCATGCCCCACAGGTAACGCTGGTGTGGGGCAGGATGCTTGGGCATCCTTCCTGGCACCTCTTAAACCCCCCTATCTTGGGCAGGGACAGGAGGGTGACCCATACCCAGAGACCCCTGAGCACCTCGTCCTGCAATGGCCCCTGTATGGTGAGTGGCAGCCCCTTTGGGGTTCCCCCACCCATTTGGGTCCCCCCATCTACATGCTAAAGTGGGGTGAGCACAAGGAGTGGGGGGGACACACACCAGTGACCACCAATCTCTCCCACAGGCACCTCGCCTGGCTGCCAGTCACAAGGTGCCCATACGCAGTGCTGCTGGCAAGCGCCCTGGTAAAGGTGAGGCCCCATCCAAGTCCCTGTATATTCAGGGTGCCCCCCAACCCAATTCAGGCCTTTGTTAACCCATTTTCCCTGCACTGACCTCCCCAGAGAACCACTCTGAGGAGCCCTCAGCTGAGCTGGCTGAGATTGATGCCCGGCTGTGGGCGCTGCAAGAGTACATGGACAGCCTGGACACCTGCATGTGACTCCCCCCTAGGGACTCCCAGCCCCTCTGGGAACCCTCCCCCCTCCCTGTGTCAGGGGGTGACGGTGGTGTGGGGCAAGTGTTCCCCCAAATAAACCCCTGTCTGGCCCTAGGGCATGTTCTTCTTGGGGTAGGGTGGAGCTTCTGTCCCCCCTCTTGCGGTCCTCTTGTCCTCACTTACTGTCCCCTCAATATCCCGCTGCTGGGGACATGGCAGGAAGGACACAATATGTGTGTCGGGGGGTGGGCACCGGGACGTCACCAGAGGGTGATAGGCGACATGGGGGATACATGCCCCAGGTCACCAATCCTGTCCTCTGGGCTATCAGTGAACTCAAAACGCCACTGCAATATGACAGCAGGACCCATGTTGCCCTACCCTGCCCCTGCACCCTGTCCCCTGTGTGTCCCTGTCCCCCCTCCTGCAACGCTACTGGTCCCCATGGCACTGGCCAAGCTCCCCATTGTGGCTCTGACACCACCATGGCTTTATTCAGTTCTGTGTCACACAAAACGGTGGGGTCAGCAGTGACTGGAGCCAGCGTGAGGCTGCAGTTCAGGAATGGTGGCAGCTGGCCAGGGGGTTAGCAGTGATCATGTCACCAGAGTGTAGAGGTCCTGGGGTGGCAGGGTGGTGGTCTCTGTGCCAAAGCCACTGTTTGGTGTCACTGTGACCACACTGGGGATGCCACCATGGTGAGGAGATCTTCAAAGTCAGTGTGAGGTGCTGCAGCCATGACTCGATGCCACCACAACCACACATTCGGCAGGACACTGCAGCGATGACGCTGACAGGCATGAGCCAACCACGGCAGATGCGGCACTGGTGATGCCATGAGGACAGGAGTGGTGCCAGCAGCTGCTCGTGGATGTCTGGCAGGCGTTGTTGCTGCCGCGGGTGACAGCCACAGCGGGGATGGTGAACGTGATGCCTCGTCCCAGTCCCGGTCAGAGCTGTACGCGGATGTCGGGCAGGAGGCGACAGGCCGTGACGATGTCGATGGTGTCGGCCACAGCGCGCAGGTCGCGGCGGGCCAGGCGGCAGCAGTGAGCGGCGGCGCGGCGGTCACCTGCGCCCGGATAAGGGCCTCCTCACAGCCTGTGACTCCCAGGGCCTCCGGGCGGGCGCTGGCGTAAGCTCTGCCGCAGGGCGCTGCCACCGCCCCACCTGCAGCCGCCTCCGCCCCTCCCGCAGCCGCTGCTGGCAGCAGCGAGGGGCTCCCCCGCCGCCCCCACCAAACCGTCGCCGGCTCCTCCGCCAGCACTGGGGATGTCTTCGGTCTATGCTCCTCCTCCTCCTCCTCCTCCTCTTCGGTCTCGGAGGCTTCGCCCGGCACCTTCAGCCCGGCCCCGGGGGCTCCCCCCGCCGCCCCCACCAGCAGCTCCTGCTCCGAGTCGCTCTCGGAGGCTTCGCCCGGCACCACCGTGGGGGCGGTGGCGGCAGGGCCATGGCCTGAGGGGGCACGGGGAGGGATCAGGGGGGGGGGCATCACCGGAAGGGGGGGGCGCTCCGGGCTTGGCCTGTGGAGTCCCTCCCCCACTCCTCCCCGCGTGCTCAGACCCCTGTAGACTCCTACGGCCCACTTAGTGATCCCAAATCTCCACATCCAGGACACCTCCCCCCACATTCCTCCCCCTGCAATCCCACGAGAATCTCCCACCTCCTGCCCGCGAACGCCGCAGGTCACATGATGAGAGGACCACGTGGCCTTCGCATCACGTGTGCCGCGCGGCGGTAACCCGGAAGTGCCTTCATTCGGCATGGCGGGCCGGGTTCTGCCGGCGGACGGCGCATGCGCCAGCGCCGCATTAAATAAGGGAGGCAGCTGCAAGCGCTGAGCTTTCGGGTGCCTGGCCCTCTCTGGGCGGAAGATGGTGAGGGGCGCGAGAACAGGAGGCTTAATGGATATATCCCGCCGGGGGCACCCCTCTGGGGGACGCCGCCATGCCTCGCGCCACATACCGAGAAGCAGGAAGCTGTGGCTGGTCACCGCGACGGCAGCCGGATCGCAGAGCCCTCCGCAGCGCCACAGGACCACTCCGGCGGGTCCCGCCCCTCACGCCCGCCCGCCCGCCACCAATCAGCGCGCGTACTTTCGCAGCCATTGGCAGCCCGGCGGTGGCGGGCGGGGCCGAAGAGCGCCGATTGCCGCACGGGCGGGGCCAGGCCCCTCCTACCTGGCCTGTCCACGGCCTTCGGCCTGTTCGCTCGCGCCGTGGCCCCACGGGCATCTACTTTGTGTCCCGCGCATCCCGCTCGCCTTCTTTGGGAGAGTCCCTGTGCAACGGGATCCCCTGGGGAGGGCTGAGGAAGCTGGGGAACGGTGCCCCTCCCCGCCGGGAGTGCCCCTCTCGCCCCTCTCCATGACGCGGTCTGAGCGGGGGAGACTGTGTATCGGGGGGTGCCGGCCCCACCCTGCGCCTGCCAGGGTAGGGATGGAGCCCTGGGATGGGGCTGGGAGTACTGGTGTGGGGATGGCGGGATGGGGAGAGGCCGCCGATGGGGCTGAGGTGGGGTCCGGTCCCCCGGCACCGTCCCCCTCCCCAGGGGACAGCTGTGGGAGATGAAGAGCACCTTTGGCAGCTGTAGGTGCTGGGAAGGGGGTCGAACAGGGCTGGGAATGGGCAGTGAGAGCCAGCAGCTGCCGAGGGTCGAGATGGTCTCCAGGCAGCTGCAGAGGAGTGGCAGGCTGGAGAGCAGCTCTAGGAAAGGGTATGGGGACTGCCGCGGCCTGTAGGGGCTGGGGGAGAGGGTTATGGTGGCTATAGGGGCACAGAGGCTGCAGTGATCTATGGGGCAAAGGCTTTCCGGGGAGGGGTGGGTGTAGAGGCCCCTCATATTTATAAGGCACAGGTGTGGCCATTCCTAAGGAAACTACCCCTTTCACTTCCATTAACTCTGAAACCTATGGATGGCCTGGCCACAAGGTGGAGACTAGGAGAAGGGAAGGGGATGCTCCCAGAGGAGGCCAGCTCTGGGGGAGTTGGGGACCCTGCGAATTTATATGGGAGTAAGGGTGGGGCTATAGAGGGTGAGGGGTGCTGTATAGGCATAAGGGACCAGGGTAGTCATCTGGGGTGTGGGCAGCAATGACCTCTGGGTTTGTTGTGTCCCCTGGGACCACCATGTCCTCCCCATCCGGACCATCAACTTCCTGGGCTGAGTGGGGAGACAGTGGTGATAGTCTAGGGGCGCCTAGAGCCCCTACCTGTCCCACCCCGCAGCACCTCCCCAGCAACCATTACCCCAAAGCTAGCTGAGAGCTGTGAGGAAGGGCAAAGGTTCGGGAGGACAGGGAGGGGGCAGATGCAGGAGAGCATGGGGGGATTCCCCCAGACTGGGCAATGTGGGGGTTCTGGTGGTGTCTCCAAGTCCAGTGGATGTTTTGGTGTTGCCCTCAACCCATGGACTGTCGGGGCACAAGGGGTACTCAGGCCCCAGCTTTGGGTGCTCTGACCCCTGAAACCGGGTGCTCATCCCCCTCTGTGGCAGGTGCAGCCACATTCCCAGGTGCATCTCCAACTGACCCCTCTGTCCCTGCTGTCCCTGCAGAGACAGCGGAGAGCAGGTGTAGGAGTTCCTGCCCCTCACAGGTTTGAGGCCCTCAAGTTGCACAGTGGTGTCGTCCTTACCTGCATCACCTTCTGCAGCCCCATGGGGGCCCCCAGCCTCACCCTGGGGTGCTTCCCACAGATGGAGCCCTCTGAGGTGCTTAGGGTTGCCCCCTACTCAAGCACAGGGGCAACAGCGCCAGACTGTGGCATTTGAAGCCTGGCAGAATGTTGCAGTGGCAGCTCACGTGACTGATGCTCATCCGCGGTTCTTGCAGGTCCAGAATCTCATGGGGCTGTGGCAAGAACAGAGGTCAGGAAATCACACAGGCGGTGCTGTGAGATCCAATTTTTTTGTGGGCGATAAGTGGCTCAGAGGGAAGTGGAGCATCTACTCTGCATGCTTGTTGCATCCCTGAGCTGGAACAAGACATTCCCAGCAACTGCCAAGGTGTGGCAAGGAAGTGTCCTAGCCTTGCCATCCAGAGCTGCAGGTAGGAATCCTGTGGAATGGGAGTGCATTTACCTTGTGTCAGAAAGTACTTTAGAGCTCAATCTGCACCACCCTGTCTGCAGGGTCATGATTTCTGGGCCTGTGACATTCCAGGGATGAATCAGATGGACTCACAGTCACTATCAAAACCAGGGAGAGTAGGGAAGATAAAAAAGTGTTTTGAGCAGTGAAATCTCTAAAGCATCATCAGAGACCTTCTGACTAATATCAGTACTTGCTATTTTTCTTAAATGTCTCCATCAGCAAGAGTTACAAATGGTGGCTTGTTCTGAAAACTGAACTTACTTTTCAGAAAATTTTTCAGGGAGGGTATGCTGAGACCAGCAGGTGCTTTTTTACAGCATGAGACCATCTGTGAAGGTAAATAGTCTGCCTCTTGCCATCCTTCAATAAACCATATGGTGGTTAAAAAACCAGACTAGCACTGACTTCCAAGCTCATGTACTGCAGATAAGCCTCACATATTTGCTCATGTATTTGCTATAGTGTAAAACTGGATTAAACAGTCCCTAGGTGTAGTGTTGAAAACACAAGGTGACATATATCCAGTCTGGAGCACAGTAGGAAGACTGTCTTCTGGTCTTCTAGCAAAGATAGAAGAGGTTTTAAAAGGCATGGAAGAGAAAAGAAGAGAAGGCTAAGGTGATCTTTTTTACATAGAATTTGGGAGTGAGGGGAAAAATAAAGGGAGAGGCGCCAAGCACTGGAATCCTTGAAGGAGTGGAAACTTGGTTATACTGTGAAACAACATTCTACTGCCAATTACAGATTTTCCATAGGCTCTTGTAAGTTATGAGGGAGACCAGAATTTGAAAACCATGAAACATTTTTAAAGTTTCCCAGTGATGATAGCAGATCAAAAATGTAATCTGACTGGCCATGATAAGTTGTGCACAGTGAGAACCGATCTCTTTCCTTAAATCCATAAGAGGGAGTCTGTGAGCAAAAAATCCTTCAGCAACACTATGAGGCACTAGATCTTATAGCTGGCCAGAGTGTGTACAGGGAACCACTACACTGTCTGAGCCAGTTCCTGGACAAGGATGCTGTCTGCTCTCATCAGTGTGAAAAACATTCTCTTGCTCTAATGTGCAGGCTGTCTGTAAGCAAGGCAGAAGAATGAAGTCTGAAGTGCAATGACTATTTTCAAGGAGCATATAAGATAACTGATACTCAATTGTTATAAATGGGATAACTTGGATAATTTGGAGGTGCAGAGTCTTGGTAGGGCACTCACTAATCATATCAATAACACTTTATCAGGTTGGGATTGCCTGGTAACCAGATTGGAACCACATAATTTGCATATGGATGTTGCCAGACTGGGACCAAAAAGTGGACAAAAAGTAATTCCGAGTGGATTGTTTCTTTGGAAGGAGTTTGAGGAAAAAAAAGGGCAACAAAATGTCTACAAAAAGCTATTCAGAAGTAGAAAAAATTAGTGAATGAAACTGGGTACAAAGAAGATATGAGATCTTCCAACAGTAGGAGTGCAGATGCCTATGGATTGTGATGAAGCTGACAGCAGATTGAAGCCCACCAGGAAGCTGGAGGGAAACCTGTTGGTCAACCCAGTAGAATCTCCCTCTGGAGAATAGAGGGCTCGTTGACTATGTGCTTGTATGTCTCTATTACTGAGATGAATACCAAGTTTCCTTGTAGCTTTTGGTCAAGATGCTTATCTTTTGGAGTATTTAGGAGGAACCATGCCTACATACTGTGGCACACCACTGCTCTACGTGTGTGAGAAGAGAACATCAAATAAGTAATTGCAGGGACTGAGGAGTGTTTACCTTGAGGACTTGAACTAGATGTTCTTCTGTTGATACTGTATTTCTGAGTGTAAAGTGTCTGGATCTTGCATTGTGATTACAGTACTTTTCAAAGAGCAGGTTTTTAATAAAAAATTTTTAATATTAAATTTTTAGGTTGAGAATGGAAATTATGTTCTTGCTGCTCCCAGGACCAAACATGGTGCTGACTGCTTTTTCAAGCAAGAATTTCTATGGTTTTCAGTGCTTGAAAATATTCATGGTAGTATTATGTGATGGGCTAATCCTGCAAGTCAACAACAGGTCTCTGAGGTGAGCATGTTGCCGTGAGAGTTAGGTGCTGAAAAAATCTCCGGAGCAGTTAATTAGGGGTGAGATAAGAAAGGGTTTATTATGCCAAGGCTAAGATGTTACAAGACGCGCGTGCAGGCCATGCCTGAGATGTTACATTTTATAATACCATCCATCCAATCCCAGATGTGTCCACCCTGTGGCCTTTACTGTGGTCCGCCCCGGGTCCACCCCCTGCAAATGGGTCTGGGGTGTGTTTTGGGACCCTCTGTTCATCCCATCTTCATCAGAGCACAAAGGGTACATAGTCACCCAATTCTTGACCGTGTTCTGTGGTTTAGACCCTGATATGCTGTTCTGCCAACAATCTAGGCCTTGCCTTGACAAAAGACTAAACATTTCTACTGAATTTGGGAGTAGGGGTGATATAGGGAGCATAGAATGGGGTAGGAGGGCTAAGGAATGTGTAAACAAGGGTGCTACAGGGAAAGGGAAAGGGGCAAGGGACAAAGGAGGGAGGGTTGCTGCTTTTAAAATCTTATATAAAACTTATAGGGCTTACCAATATTAGAAAAATAAAAAAACAGTAGGGGCTTAAGGCATCAGCATCATTCAAAAATGGCTGACATAGGTATAAACACAGGAATTCTAGCAAATCCCAAAAGTATCTTTAGGTAGAAGCTGTCCTGTCAATATGCTCAGTGATCTCAGAGCTATCAAAAGAAAATACAAAGAGAATCAATAAGAATGTAAGAATAATGAAAAAAGGGCTGAAGGGAGACAAAAAAGGTAAAATTCACCTGCAGTGTCATTTGGCTGAGACAAATGGAAAATACAGGACTCACTACAACCTACATGTTCCCTTATCCGGAGCATAAGAACCACAGAATTAAAACACTTTGCCTGGCTATTGCTCGTGTTAAAAATGTCTCTGACTTTCACTGTTAGAGACATATACCCTCTCAAAGTATATGAAAATCCATATGTCCTTCCATTTCTACTCAAAGAAAGAAATTGTAGATGTTGGACTGGTTAAACCTTGCTGTGGACAAGAGTATGCCCATGTTTAGGGAGTTCACAACCCCCGATGATAACTGTAAAGATGGAATCATCTTTCTGGAACAGGCACAGATTTGAAATCTTGGTTTCTTATTCCTGGGTGAATGCTAACCACCAGTGCCCCTAATCATTGCTTTCTCTATAATGAGTTAAACTCCTTCTCCAAAAAAAATAACAAAACCACAACAAAACATCAAAGAATATCCACCAAATGCTTTGTCAAGCACTTCTGAACAATGTGAAATGTCAGTAATGCAGATGTTTGTAAGTGCATGCTGATGCTCTCAGGCAGCGACCTGGGTTGAGCACTTCAGGAAAACAAACTCTAGATCTTCAGATTTGGACACTGTTCAGCCCTGGCATCATCTGGGACAGTTCCTGGAGCTCAGGATATAAGAGACTTTCAGAATCAGATGAGGGAGAGAGAAAGCCTCGCTTTTGTTCAAGTTTCCCTGTAGGTAACTTACCCTTTAAATGGGAACTGCCCTCTAGAATAGTTTTTAGTTATTCCTGTTCCTCTGGTGTTCCCAAGGGTACTCTGGAGGTGGCAGTGCATAATACATTTCTCGAACTTCACCAGACTGAGATTTCTGTGCTTGGGAAGATTTGTGTGTTTTGGTTGTTGCAGTCACTGTATGTCTGTATATTTCCAGATGACTTTGGCAGTTTTCCTTTAAAATTGTTCATTTTTATTAATAGACATGTTAGCATTTTATGTTTGCAATCTTACACATTGTGTGCTGTCAAGTTCTTTCCATTGACCTTATCCTAGTCTTGCTCCTGCATTACTTTTACCATTGTCCGGGTTCATTTGGAAACAAATTACTTGGGACTCATATAAATATCTTTAGTGTGGGCTTTTTTTTTTAATGTTTAACCTTCCCAGAAATAAATATTTCCAGAACCCTGAATGAATTAAACAAACAACACATCATGTTCCATTAAAAGAACAAACTAACTCAGTTGTTGATAGGGAACTGCACATTTGTTTATTAAAAGCTGATGCTTTAAAAGTAAGAGAAGATAGCTGGGGCTTTAAGAATGATGGAAAATCCGATTTCCTCTCTGTTGCTGCAGGTGGCTTGGCACAACTTCTCAGCTCATTTGACTTAATGTTTTTACATTTTCCTGTAGAAACTGATGTACATTACAGGACACCGTGACCATTTTGTATTGGAAAACAGGTATTTATTCATATCTGTCATTCATGATGGAGTTGTTTGAGAAAGAAATGCATGCAATGTTTCAAGCATTGGCACACTATGCAATTCTGTGGTTTGGAAATCTTAAACCTTAAATCATGAGTTCTTTGGCAGGCAACATCATCTTTCACAGACAAGGATACACATCTTGCTTCCTGAAATCGTTAGCTCCTAGAGCAAGTTAGGTTTACAAACTAAGTCTAAAAGTCCCCTTCTACACCCTCTTAAATAACCTTCTACCCATTCCCACTCATCAAAAACTACCACTGTCCTGGTACCTGCAGACCTAACCATGAAGTCTTTGTTCTTTGTTAGAACGCTCCGACATCGGTGACTCATCATTTATAGGATTACATTCTCTCACTGGAGATGAAAATTGGAGTTTAGATGACCAGGTACACAGCACAAACAGAAGTGTGAATCTGGTTGTCAGAACTTCAGTTTTAAGACAGTGATACAATTTTTTGAAAAAACAAAACAGGGATGATTTATGGTAAAACCTTCTTCTCCCTAGAACCTCAAAGGTCAACCCGTAAGTGTGATTGTCAGGTTAACAATCACAGCTACTCTGCCCTTCTGTGACCTTCCCTGGAGTACTGTGTCCAGGTCTGAGATCCTCAGCACAAGAAGGATGTGGCCCTGTTGAAGGAGTCCAGAGGAGGCCACAAAGTTGTTCTGAGGACTGGAACACCTCTGCTCTGAAGACAGGCTGAGAGAGCTGGGGTGTTCAGCCTGGAGAAGAGAGGGCTCTGGAGAGACCGCATTGCAGCCTTCCAGTACGTGAAGGTGGCTTATAAAAAAGAGGGAGAACAACTTTTTACATGTGCAGATAATGATAGGAAAGGGGGTTCAGTTTTAAACTAAAAGAGGAGAGATTTGATTAGGTGTTAGGAGCAAGTTCTTTACTCAGGTTGCCCCTGAGAGGTTGTGGCTGCCCCATCCCTAGAACTGTTCAAGGCTTGGAGTCTTGAACGTGTATGGGGCTTGGATGGGATTTGGAGCAACCTGGTCTAGTGGAAGGTGTCCTTGCCCATGGCAGGGGAGTGGAAAGAGAAGCACTTTAAGATCCCTTCCAATCCAAACCATTCTGTGATTCTATGAACAGATAATGTCTCTCTGCAGGAAATGCAAGAGTTAGATCACCTACCTAAAGTTGATGTGGTCCTGAAACTGCTGGGAAAGAGGCAGATCTGTCTAGCAGATCCCAAGAGTGGAAAGCAACCTGTAGCCCCTGGCAGCACAGGATGCCAGCCTCATCTGCTTTCCAGCATTCATCTACTTTCCAGCATTCATCTGCCTGCAGCAGCTCTGTATGATGCACTGATTCCCAAGTCAGCTTGCTCAGAGACCTTTTCCTGACACATTCATACATCATTCATATTGCTGAACTATGGTTATTGCAAGGGACAACTTCTTTATGGTACCTTTTCTATGGTTTTGAAGACCTATTGTTATGGAGTTTACACAAATGTTTTGATGTCTAAAGTTAATTGAATGCCAATCACAAGAAATTAAAACATTATTATGAACAATGAAAAGCAAGGCAGGAGAGGTTGTTCTTTGTTCAGTTGAATTGATACTGTAAGAAGAGTTTTAATATGACTGCCCAAGCTGTTGGGCTCGATAGGTCAGGCATGTGGATCACACTGTGGATGCTATATTTACTCTGGCAGTGCCTCTGTCACGGGGCTGTATATAGCCATTCTCATTCAGGGCTAGCAGCCTCAACAAATCAATGCTCTATGAAATTGCTAAAGGATCTTAATTAAACCTGTAATACAAAGATTTACAAAAATACAGTAGAATGCTTTATCTGTATCTGGAGTCTTCATAGCCATAGTAAGTGATTATATTTTCTCTATCTTTTAGAATAGCAAAGACATCTATTGTGAGTTTTATCTGAAATTTGGATTAAAAGCTTTTTCTCTGTTTTCTAATAATTGCAATATATTTAAAAGTTTGTAATTAAAAGTTCAGTGTTATATTTTAGCCTATGTTTTGCCTTAAAGCCTAATAGAATGTACATATATGTACATATATACATACATATATATCTACATTCTATTATGGTTTTGCCAACATATAGTAATTTTGAATAAGAGGAATCCAGATTTGCCTAGTCCATACAAAGATGACAAAAACAGAAAAAGAAACAATATTACCCTGTCTATTAAATAATAATAGTACTCACTGATTGGAAAACAACCTACTGCTTCAAGCCTTTGGTTTTCTGATCACTGGATTTTCTGTATATGAAAACATTGGGGTTTTAGATAAGAATATTTGAAAAATAATTAATGTGTATTATGATTACTGTACTCTCATATGGTCTTTTTTTCCCACAGAGATGGGTATTCTTGCTGTACTTGCTCTACCATTGCTTCTCTTAGGGATCAGTGGAATTATTTATATTTACCAGTCAGTCAGGTGGCTATTGTCCAAGTCAGCGGTGCAAAACAAGGTGGTGGTGATTACGGATGCCATTTCTGGACTAGGCAAGGGTGAGTTGTCTCATTTCTTCTCAGAGAACAGAGAACAGAAATAGCCAGAGAACCACCCTGGGTGATAAAATGTGCATACATTACCTTGTATATATTTCATAACTGACTGGATGAAGGAGAAATTAGGAAATATATTTATGAAAAAATATTATGATTTTTAAATTTATATTTTTAGGCTCAGCCACAGGAACTGTTGATAAACTTCTAGGAACTGCAGAGCTTTGTATTTATTTAATTCAATAGGACGAGAGGTTTTATAAGCACACTGAGTGCTATTTTTAGCATGTTGCTGCTATGAGATCTTATTACATAGGCTGTCACAGCAAGGTAGTTGCAAATCATATAAACAGGTGTCGTCTTACTTTTCGCATGTTTCTTTCCAGCCCTTAAAGATTTCAACATTTCTTGCTCCCTGTAAACGACAGTGCTCATCCCTCTGTCGCTGTTTGTATCTCTGCCCCCTCTATCACCCATGTTACTCCTCTTCCCTTGACATCGTCCAGTACTTCCAACTGGGCAGCCTGGTTATGTGTAATGGTGAATTCAGAGGACAGAAGGAAAAGAAATGAGATAGTTTTTCTATTTAAATGACTCATTACCTGGGTGGCCTGGAGACAAGGTGTGGCAAGACCTTGGAGCCCCTTCCAGTGCCTAATGGGACTCCAAGAGACCTGGAGAAAGACTTTGGACAAGGGCCTGGAGTGACCGGACAAGGTGAAATGGCTTTCCACTGACAGAGGGCAGAGGGCAGGATTAGATAGGATATTTGGAAGAAATTCCTCCCTATGAGGATGGTGAGGCCCTGGCGCATGTTGCCCAGAGAAGCTGTGGCTTGCCCCCTCACTGGAAGTGCCAAGGCCAGGTTGGACGGGGCTTGGAGCAACCTGGTTTAGTGGAAGGTGTCCCTGCCCATGGCAGGAGATTGGAACTGGTTGGTCTTTAAGATCCTTTCCAACCCATATGGGTCTATGATATACTTATTGACTCCTTATTTCCTGCCTACATGGTGCTGTTGATTACAAGGTGCTGAGTCATATGTTACTTATGTACAGTCCTGCTCTAGGCTTCACTAGAGGGGCAGTAGATTCAAGTGCCTGATAAGGCAAACATAGCTCGAGGCTATATTTTGGTGTTTTTAATGAAGACTTGCTGTCTGTTAAAACCTCTGCACTCCCAAGGAGAGAACAGATGGGGAAAGGGAATGCTCCTGCAGAATTAATCCTTAGCAGAACAGAGCAGAGATCTGCAACAGAGGCTTTTAGGACAAGGTATGAAATAATTCTGGCCTCCTCATCCCACTCAGTCATTCCCTTTACCTGATACATTTCAGGTTCAGTTGAAGATAATATTACTGTGCATTTTCTCAAGTTGGTTATTGTCATGGTTTAGGAATGGTATTCCCCAACTTGGTGTTCACTGAAACACCACGCGCTGTTCGCTGACTCCCCCCACCCCCCCGTGGTGGGATGGAGAGGAGAATTAGAGACACAAAAGGCAGAGATCGTGGGTTGAAATAAGAACAATTTACTGGAAACAGCAATGAGATAAGAAAATGAACATCAACAATACCAATGACAGAGGGTACAAGGTAAGCAAATGATTCACACCAATCACTCACCATGTGGAACCGACGCCACCTGACTGCTCACCCAGCAAACCGGAAAAATGCGACTGCCCTGTGCAGGGCTGGAGTGGGATTGAACAACCCTGGGGTCCTGCTGTACATCTCCTGGCTGCTGCAAAAGTTACCCCCACCCTGGCTAGAACCAGGACATTTATATTTCAATATTTTTATTGGAGAGGCATGATTCAGAGAACTCCTGCTGAGATTGGGTGTGTTGTAGAATTGTAGGATGTCTGGGTTTCTAGATAAAAATCTCCCTTGGAGCAGAAATATCACCAGTGCTGGATCTGTTTGGGTGTAGCTTCAAGCCAAATCTTGGAACCCTCCAAGAATAAAGAACATTTATTGAACATTTCTCCAGCTGTCTTGCTCCAGCACTGCATGATTCTTGGTGACAATTTTCCTAACTTCAGTTTCCGTATTAACCTTCCTTCCTCTTTTTTCTTTTTTCTTTTTTTAAATTTTTTTTCCTTTTTTTCTTCTTTTTTTTTCCTTTTTTATTTTCCCCCTGTGACTAGCTGTTGCCTGTCTCTTGAGGCTAGAAAAGCAACTGTTTGTGTGTGTGGTACCCCCACCCTCCTTTTCATAGAGATGAAAAAGGAGGTAACTCACAGCACTTTTATTTTATTATCCCAAATATATCTACAACCAGTATCCCATAGGGTGACATCAAGAAGTTATTTGCAGGCTTGAATGAATAATGCAAAATTTACTGTGCACTCCACTCATGCATACGTGATGGCCATTTGTCCAGGGCTTTCAAATACTGGCTGTGTGGCCAGTAGCTCCGTATGTGAGCTCTTAAGAAACAACCAAATTCTTTTTCCTACATGCCAGAATTTCTGGACTAAAGACAACATTCAGCAAAGTTAAAAAAGAAAACTATGATGATTGAAGATGTTTTCAATGGTTTATGGTTATTACTGAAACTTAGTTCCTGTTTCTTCTGAGTGCTATAACTCAGAAAAGTCCAGGAAGCTTCTAGAGGAGGACATCATTGGTTTCCCTTTTTCACCGTTATTGCTGTTGACCCAGTACTGTTTTTTGCATTTTCTTCCATAAGATCGACCCAACTGCTGTTTATATGGAAAATTATGGTATAGTTGTACTGGCAAATAATCTTTTGGGCTTTAAATAAAAATTTTTTCTACACTAGAAAAGAAAAAAATGAAAGACATTCGTAAAATTACTGTTGTAAATAATGAAAAAGATTGCTTAAATAAAAACCTCCAGCTGCACAGGTTTGCAAAAATACAAGATTGATCCATATTTAGTGTAACATGAGCATTTAAGAAATCTTAAATTGGTAGATGAGCATAACTGGATTTCCTGTGGATATTGAAATATGAAGAAAATGCTTCTTGGAGGACAGCAAACCATAGCACTGGCGTTCTTCTATTGTCAACAAAGGCCACAAGAGCTGAGACAAAACAAGTAGGCTGAAAGGCATTGTAAGACCATATTCATTTTCTTACAATGCTGACTACGTAGCTTTCATATAGATTTGATTTAGAAACCAAACATGAGAGCTCCAAGGCTGAGAGCTTTTTGGAAGACTTAATCAGGAAAAATAACTCTTGATTTTCAATCATAAAAGTACATATAATCCATTGTCAACTAACTCTCTGGCTGCATGCAAAGCAGACCTCTGGTTTGGAGCACCTTGGACACATCATCAGTTGTATCCTCAGGCCTATCTGCAGGACATTGTCTATTCTGAGAAATAAAAGGCAGGCAAATGTGTACTTTTCCTGGTGAGGAGGACAGCCTTGACGGGTTCCTGGACTGTTTCAGTGCAGCTGTATCACTGTAGCAGCCTACAACTACCAGAGGGATACAACTAACAGTGAATTCCATAAAGATTCCCATGAGGTATCTGTGCTCCATATTCTTAAATGCCTGTCTTTGGTCAAACTGAGAGGATGATGAGGAATATATTCTCTCTCAACACGACCTAGAGAAGAAAATAGACCAGACAGAAGTTGTCAAGGTGGTCCAGCCTTGTATTTTATAATTTGGCTTGAATTAGTCACACACACCCACGAAGACCTGCACTGAGTTGGCTGCAGTCTTGTGCTGAGAGGGGATGATGGGTAACACTGACTGCCAGTTCCTTTTGCTATGTGAGTCCCCAGTTTCAGAAGAGCACAGTCATAGTTCACTTGTATGAAAAAGGGAGAAGAATCTTCCCCAGATACCTAGCTTAAATTGGGGTAAATCCCCAGCTCAGAATGTGTCTGAATGAAGAAAATACTGTGCCAGCCCAGCATTCCCAGAAAACTTTGCAGTTCTCTTCTCAGGAAGGCTGTGGGGAATGTAACTGAACAAGCTGATCCCTGATGGCTCTGCTGATTATTGGGAAGGTTTAGTACTCAGGAGATATAGCTCTTGGGGTAGGTTACATCTGGAGGGAAGGGTCTATAGGAGAAAGGGCTCTCTCATGGGTGCTCCACCTGTGCACAAGTGGGCGGTGAGTTTATCTATATTGCTCTTTATCAAAGTTGTAGATGAGTTCCGTGTTGCCAAGAGTTTCATGAGGGTAACACAGAGCTAGTGTTACTGTTTACTGAGTTTTGTTGGTTTCTTTATAGTGCATCAGACATGAAGGTTTGCAAAAGATGCAGTTTGTATTGTAACGACCTTGGGTGTTTATTTTTGTATGCAGTTTTATTTATAGGAAAAGTGTCTGTGAAATATATTCAGAAAAATTTTTCTAACTCTAACAGATATATTGTTCTTTTCTCAATTACTTTGTTATTAAATCCCATTACTAAACAGTGCCATTGTGCTGTACCATTAATTGTGCATAATAACATTGCATTAAATTAGAATTTATTACTCACGTACTATTAAATTTCAATGCTTTTTTAAATACATATATATTCTCTCAAAATTAATTATTTTTAAAGCATGGATTCAATGTCATTAGCAAAAACAGCATCCCGTTTCAAGCAAAATAAGCAAAATCAAATTGTCATTATTGTAATTATTTCTTTTGAATGTATTTCTCTCCTAGAATGTTCTCGTGTGTTTCACACAGGAGGAGCAAGGCTTGTGTTGTGTGGCAGGACATGGGAAAAGTTAGAAGCCTTGTATGATGCCTTAATTAGCGTGACAGACCCCAGTATGGTATGTATTCATAGCCTGAGGTAAAAACCTTGTTCAGGTATACAATGTGCTTTTAGACCCAGTAAAACAAGGTACAAGAAACATGATTCACTGTTAATGGTGACTTTGGTTTCCCAAGTAATACACCAAACAGAGTCCAGGAAAAATAACTCCCTGTCAGAGAGAAAGAAATGCCTCTGAAGGTGTTCAGACCACAATGTCAAAATCCTGCTCTCTTGAGCTAATCCAAGGCAGTTCCTGTAAATCATCTGAGTGCACCTGCATTCTGAATAAGCTACCCAGCTAGAAATCTTCAGCAGAGAAATTAACCTGATAATCTGAGTGAAAGGAATCCAAATGCTTCATTTGTACAGGAAGTGTCATGCATTTTTCCTGTAATTAGTGTGCTCAAGGACTGGGAGATGGGTCTAAAGATCAAAATAATTTTTAGTTTCTCCACCTCTTTGGAACAAATCCCAACTAGAACACTTCCAGGGATGGGACAGCCACAACTTCTCTGGGCAACCTGTGCCAGGGCCTCGCCACCCTCACAGGGAGGAATTTCTTCCTAGTATCCCACCTAATCCTGCCCTCTGTCAGTGGGAAGCCATCTCCCCTTGTCTTGTCACTCCAGACCCTTGTTCAAAGTCCCACTCCAGATCTCTCTTGGAGCTCCATTAGGCACTGAAAGCGGCTTGAAGGGCTACCCAGAGCTTTCTCCAGGCTGAGCAATGCCAGCTGTCATTGCTGAACTACCTTCTTCCTAGAGTAGGTTAAAAAAAACCCCTGGAAGTTTATGTGAGAATAATAAAAACACTTTATTCAAATGTCAAGATAAATTAATTTACAAGACAAGTAAACAGAAATAATTTTTTTAGATAACAATTATCATTGCTATGAGTCTTTTCTTTATTAGACATATGCGCCAAAGCTCATACTTCTGGATATCTCAGACATAAACTGCATTCGAGATGTAGCTAAGGAAATCCTGAATTGCTATGGCTGTGTGGATATACTAATCAACAATGCAAGTATGAAGGTGAAAGGAGCAGTGCAGAGCATTTCATTGGAACTTGATAAAAAGATAATGGATGCCAACTATTTTGGACCTATAACATTAACCAAAGGTAGTTGTGAGATCTACAATTCAGCCGTCATTCCTTTTCACTAAATACATGAAACTCTTTTACTTATGTGGTTCTTTCTTGCATTTCTGTTTTTGCAGCCATTCTTCCCAACATGATCTCAAGAAGAACTGGCCAAATTGTTCTAATTAATAGCATTCAAGGGAAAATAGGAATCCCATTTCGTGCAGCCTGTAAGTCATACATAGCAAAACCATTCCAATGCATAGATTGTGAGTAGTCCATGACGCTGATAATAGGTTATTAAAAGTGCACCCTAATTCAGTAGACTATTAATACAGTATTTGGCTGAAATTTTTTTGAAGGAGTGGAACTCAGCAAGAAATAGTTAAAATAGTACCTTTGAAGATGCTACCTAAGGTACTTGAGGATTAGAGGATATCAAATGTGACAGCAATTTTTTTTATATATAATATATATGTAAAAATATATATTGTATAGATAGAATATATATCTACATCTATACTTGGGCATATTGGTAGAAGCCATAATGAAGTATAGTGTGTAAATATAAAATATGCAAAGCTACTGCATTGCAAAGGAAACCTCGTGCCTCTAATGGATTTATGTGTGGGAGTTTAAAAGGAGATGTAGTAATTGTATTCTGCTTGACTTTCTAGAAATTTTTCAAGAAGGTCTTTCATCCAAAGCTCTAAGGAAACTAGGCTGTCCTGAATTATGATGAAAGGTCTTTGCATGACTGAAATACAAAGTTAGTGGACAGAAAATATAGGATAGATATAAATAGGCTTTTTAAACTTGGGATGGATGTAAATAGAAATTCTTAGCTTGACAGGAGGTCAGAGCGAACAATGGACTCTGAATTAAAAGGTCTGCAAGACCTCAGGATTGTGACATTTGGTTCCATGGAAGCAAATTACAGTGACAGAAACTGTAAGGAAAGCAGTAGAGAAAATAAAATAAAACCTATCTTTATGTCTTTGTACATTTATGCATAAATCTATGCAATGCCCACATCTTGAACATGTGTGCAATTTTGGTGTCCCATTCTAAAGAAGTATAAGGACTACAAAAAAGGCTCAAAAAAGAAACAACGCATTGATGTGACATCTGGAATGGTTTCCATCTAGGATACAGATAATTGTGTCAAGATACACTCTTTGTGTATAAAACCATGAGAAGCAGAAGAGCAGGGATGCCCCTACTAATATTTATGTGGCATGAAATGAAGCTACCAGAAGAAAGAATGTCAAGATAAATGAATGGAGAAACATCTCTCCATTCCCAGAGCCCCTGTGCCATTGTTTAGATTATATTACACACAGGTTGATTTTCACTATAATTTGAGTCAAATAAAAGGTGAATGAGTGCTTTGCACCTCTGCCGCATTGAACACACAGTTCCATTTTTTGGTCAAGGTTCACATATTATCATCTTGCTTTAATACCATCCTCAATAAAAAGACACTAAAAGCAGATTAAAAAAGTCTTGACATTCAGTTACTTTCACATTAATGTTAAAAGTAGCTCGGATTGCTGCTGCAGGGCAAAGTCCCAATTAGTGTACAAAACATTAGTACTCCTGCATTCCAGCAATGCACATGTATTTCACTGCATTTTAGGGATGTGTTGCAAACTGCAGAAACAGAGGGTGTGGGGACTCATCTCAGGGACAGCTCCATCCATCAAAGACATTTTTGAACTGTAGAGATAATAGAAGTGTTATTCTCTAACCTAGGTCATTCCCAAACCCAAGACTATTTCCAACTGGGAAATGCTTTTTGACATGTCCAGGAGACTGCCTCCATACCTCATGCACAGTTGTCCTATAAAAATAATTTCTTATTGCTTGTTTCGAATATGTCATATGATAATTTCACTGGGTGAAATAATTCACTGTTCTTTTGCCTTTTGGCTAATTGTTCCATGCTCATTTTCCCTTATGTGCCTTATGGAGCACTATCATACATCTACATCAATGCAATCATATCTCTAAACATGCATATGTGGGCTTTTTTCTTTTAGATGCTGCCTCCAAGCATGCTGCTGTAGGTTTTTTTGATTGTCTTAGAGCTGAAATGGAAGAATTTGATATTTCTGTCAGCACTGTGAATCCAACTTTCATCTGTTCGTACCATCGCCAACCAGCACCTGGCAACTGGGAGGCATCTATTTGGAAATGTAAGTTTTGATGGATGAAGATGGGGCTTATGTAGCAGGATGGAAGCTTTTTCAGGGTGAAGATAGGAGCATAGGAAAAATAATGGAAATGACAGAAAGGATGAGTGGTATGGATGGCAAAAAAAAAGAGATATTGGAGAGGTAAGATGAGCCTGGTGAAAAGAGAAGGAACATGGAAAGAGACAACATTATGTGAGAAAAGAAATACACCAGGGCATCAAGAATAGAGAAGGAGGAAAGCATGGAAGGTCCAAAGGTTCCAGTACACTCAGGTTGTTCCTTCTCTTAGGGACTGTAAAGATTTTACCTCAAAGTTGTAAAAAAATCTTAGGGACATACTGAGAAAGAGAATAGAGTGGATAAGGGCTTAAAAGCATGTAGGAATTTAACTGATTTGACTGGTGCACTAGTTGTGTATCTTCACCACCATTCCCTCAGAGTGTCTGTCTGTTTGTCTGCCTGTCTGTAGCTCTCACTCCTCTCTGATTTACAGTCTTTTTCAGGAAGGTGGCATATGGTGTACACCCAGTGGAGGTAGCAGAGGAAGTCTTGCGCACAGTGAGCAGGAAGAAGCGGGAGGTGCTTATGGCCAACCCTATCCCCAGGGCAGCAGTTTACATTCGAACCTTCTTCCCTGAGCTGTTTTTTGCCATTGTTGCCTCAGGTATTAGGGAAAAGCTAAAGACAGAGGAGGAAAATTGATTTTGTTCAGTTATTTTCTCTGGTTTTGACTTGAAAAAAAAAGTTTTTGTTTCAAATGTCAATTATTTCTGCTGCTTGCCATGGATAGAATAAAGGTACTACCACTGACACACATTCATCCATGGAACTTCTACTCTTCTGGATTTAGGGAATATGAGATGTCATTTTTTACATTAGAACAGTATGGGGAAAGCCCTACTAGGGACTCTGTCACTGTATAATACAGTGATTCCCAATATAAATCAAAATTTTGGGACCTGCAGTAACTCACCAGAATAGTCTGCTAGTGCTAGAACTGATGGAACTTACAGGAAAAAAGAGATGGGAAAGTAGGGATATGTGGGAGAGAGAGGAGTAAAAACCAATGGAGAACAGAGTTAGATCCTGGCTCAGAGTGTTCCTCAGACATGCTTTTTGGAAGTTCTAACAGGATATGCAAATGGCAAACCCAATAAGGGCTTATCTAGTTCAATATCTCATCCACAACAGGATCCTCAAGCACATGCTTAGAAAATAGAGCAGTCTTCCAGGTTCTGGCATTCTGCTTCACAGTTTGAAACAGACTCTGTCTCTGCATTTTTTAAAAAACTATCAATTTTTCACACAAACCTTTCAAATCCTTATTTCCCTGAGGAAATGAACTAGTCATATATAAAAAAAGACTGCCTTACGTTTACTTTAAAGCTGATGTCAGGTAATATTCTCCTACTTCTTTTAGTGTGAGAGACACAAAATAATGGTACTCAAATCATTCAAACCCAATCATTCATGCCCATCATACATTCCATGCAGTTGCCTGTTTTCCAAATTGGAGAGCCCCGTAAACTATTCACTCTTTCTTTGCGAGAAGTCCAGATTATCCTTGTTTATAATTTTTGGCTTGCTTCTTGTTTTTTGTTTTTGTTTTTGTTTTAAGATGGGCAGCCCACAGCTGCATGCAGCATTCAAAATAGATAAACAATTTGGATTCACAGACAAGCATACAGATGCTTCCTGGGTTTTTCAGTTCTTTTCTTCTTTTGCATGTCTTATGCAAATTCCCTCTTTTGAGACATTTTTCTGACTTTTTTGACTGCTCCTGATCGTTGAGTTTCCTTGTCCACTCTGCCATATATCGTAATTAATCATCATGTCCAACATAAACACGGTCATTGTTCATGTCAATTGTCTAAATTCCATATATTCCAAAAATTCTCTCACTCCTAGTCATTCTATGCTCCTCTCCCCATCACATTTTCCCAGTTCACGCTGAGGCCTTACTCTACCTTTTTATCTCATCCTGGGGGCTGAACCAGAAAATAAATAAAGCTAATGAAAGGGTGTCCTGATCTTCAGTTTTACATCTAAGGGCTTAAATTCTGTTTCCCAAACCCTCCCCCACCCTTTCTTGTGCCATCAGTACTCAAAGAGGTCATGACCACTTGCATTTTGTCCTGTCAAAATGCCTTGTTTGCAGAATACCTACAAAGGAAATACCTGCTCTGGAGGCATGGAACCAAACTGCTCTTGCTGCTACAAGTCCCATTGCTCATGTAACTTTCAACAGCAGATCACTTATATACCTCATTCATCAGCAGAGTCTCCAAACATAAATGGAATTCTGAGGGCAAGGAAATATATGACTATCATCTTGCAGGGACATTAACTTTTTTGCTGTATCTGTAATTCAATTACTTGGACTTCAAGAAACCTGACTCAGGGAGGTAGTTGACCACAGGGGAGAAGAAGACACTTCCTGCAGTACCTGTTGGAGCTCCATCTATTTTCTGTTGTAGCACTGGGGTTTTATTGTTGCGTGAGTGACTATACCTTAACTGGGAAGTCAAACAATGACTTTGTTCAAAATTTTCTAGCTCCTCACCAGAACTCTAGTCCTTTAAACTGTTGCCGCTGTATTCTGGTGCTGAAAAAATCTCCAGGAGCAGTTAATTAGGGGTGAGATAAGAAAGGGTTTATTTGCCAAGGCAGTAGATGGTATACGACGTGTGCACAGCCGTGCCTGAGTGGTTACATTTTATAATATCATCCATCCAATCCCAAATGTGCCCACCTTTTGACCTTTCCTTTGGACCGCCCTGGGTCCACCCCCTGAGAAATGGGTCTGGGGGCTTTTTGGGACCCCCCCTTCATCATCTTCAGCTTCATCAGAGCACAAAGGGTACATAGTTACCTAATTCTTGACTCCGTTTTGTTATTCAGGCCCTGATATGCCGTTCTCTAAACAGTCTAGCCCTTGCCTTGACAAAAGACAAAACATTGCCACTGAATTCAGGGGTAGGTTTGATATGGGGAGCATAGAATGGGGTAAGAGGGTTAGGGAATGTGTAAACAAGGGAAAGGAACAAGGGACAAGGGGGGGGAGGAAGGTTGCTGCTTTTTAAAACCTACCTATAAAACTTACAAGTCTTACAAATATTAAAAAAATAAAAAACCATTAGGGGCTTAAGGCATCAAAACAAATGGGCATTTGCTGTGATCTCAGTTTTACCTGTGTCTGTACCTCAGCAAAAGCCAAGCCCTTCATAATTCCACAAAACCCAAATGTAGAATAACTGGGTAATTTAATCAGAAAAGGATCAGGAATCGTAGGACATCACTGCTAAACATGAATCAACATTTTTTGTAGCTGCCCCACCCCTGGAAGGTCAGGTTGGGGTGTCCCTGGCCATGTCAGGGATTGGAACAAGATAGTCCCTTCCAACCCTAACAATTCTCTGATTTCCTTGATTTCTATTATTTTATTGCTTTGTTGTAAAAATAAGTGGATTACATGTTAAAATAAACTGAATAATCCTTCTGCTCCATTTTGCATGTTCTAGATATCAGCAGAAATTTTTCATGCAACTTCATTTCAAAAATGTGAACAGTTCAAGGAGCCACAGTAAATAGCAATGAGAGTGACAAAGGTAAAATAACACCTGTGACCCATCAAGAAATTTTTAAAGAACAGATGTGTTTTAATCTAGAAAGTAGAAGAAAGATATATCTTAACGGTTTTCAAATTCCTAAAATGTACTGCCAAGAAGATAGAATTAAACATTTTGCTCGAGTAGGACAATGTGCTAAAATTGCTGCAAAGGAGATTTACAGGGACAGAATTTTCTGCTAAGAATAGTTAAGCACAAAGGATAAATTGCCAAAGAAATTTTCAAATGCCTGTCTTTGCAAGCTTTAAAGAAGAGATTAATGAAACATCTGTAAAAAACCAATGTAGCTTTAGTTTATCCTGCCTAGAGGAAAAGAAGGATTAGATGACCTTTTAAACAGGTCACACTTTTCTCTTATTTGATGTTTTTTTCTCATCTTGAGAACAATGTTTCTCCACTGGTATTTCAGAAGCAGTATTTTTTTTTCCTCTGGGGAAATAAATTATTTAATTTGAAGTTTTCTATTTCATTTGTCTGTCTCTGTTTCGCTGTCACATCTGTGGATATCTGTTGTACATAAAAATATGATAACAAATAGAAATATTATAAGTTCAGTAAGAGGTGTTTTCTGTGAGCCTCATTCAACTGTATTTAATCTATGTAGATTCTGTAATAATACTAACTTTTATAAATGAGGACAGCACTAGGCTCGCAGATTTAGTTGTAGGTCACAGGAGAAAGATAATCAGCTACAGCTTCTTTAATTAATTTTTTAAGCTCATATGCCCAAAGGGCACATAATGTTCTTTCAATGTGACCTGCAGTTGCACTATTTTAAGTTTATGGGTTTTTGTGCTGAAATCAACTGTTACTTTTGTTGTTCAAAAAAATTGACATTGTTAGGCATTTCTAGACACAAGGACCCTTGAGGTAAGGAAGAATTTAAAAGTGAGGAGATTCTTGTTTAATTTTAGACATCTGTCCTAGATACAGCCCACTCAAGGCTGACCTCCCAGACCCCCTTCTTAAGTGGTGGAAAGAAACAGGTGTCTATAGTCTGACTTATCTGACTTGCAGCTCAGGATAATAGGAATTGCATCCCTGAAGTGCCAGTACAAGTGTAGATCTATGTATCTCTGCCACAGGTATCTGAAGTTTACTGAGATGCCACATTCATCAAGATTGATTGTGTCTAAAGAATTGGAATGAAAGTGCCTCAGTTTTTAACCTGCCTTCAAATAATGTGGTTCCAGGACTTACTGGGAGCCAGAAGTTTACATAAAGGCCAGAATACAAAACCCTGGGTTACAAATAGGGATAAGAAATCTTGCATTTCATCAGGTGAATTTGTTTACCAGACATCCAGCAGAAGACATATCTTCTTGAATGGTTAGTATGTGAGAAGAACAAACAGTTTGAGATTTAAGAATTGATCTTGATGGGGTCCTATTGGACAATTATTTAAAAGCCCTTGTTCACACAGAGCGCTTTATGAGTGCAACCCACTGTAAGAAAAATCCTGAGGAAAGAGCATATGGCAGAGACTGGCCATCTGTGTTAGTAAACTGCAGGCTAAGAAAAAAATGAGGAACTTACTTAGATCTTCTAAAGGACTTGTGGGCACTAAACGAGCATGTTCCTGGATGAGGTGGAAATTCCTCAGTGACACCCTGAAACAACATGAGATGGGTAAAAATCTGTTGTAAAAAGAGATATTACAAGTGCAAAAAGCATAAAGTCAGACGGAATCAGGAATTCCTATATCAGTGAAGATGTTAGAAACATCTCCACCACAAAAAAATATGTGAAACTAGGGGAAGGAATTAAGGTCTTGTGTTCTGGTCAAGGGATTGAGACTGCTTCTACCAGAGTGAATACCAACCGCTCTGACAACTGATAGAGAGGAACGGAAGGTGGCAGTTTCAGAACACTGTAATGAGTAAAGACAGACTTTTCTAAAGACGAAAAGGGAAATATTATTGCTGTCTGCAGCTACCTAGTGGGTTGGTATAGAGAAGATGGAGCCAGATACTTCTCAAATGTGCACAGTAGAAATAAAAAAGGTAATGGACACAAATTGGAGGACATGGCATTCTGATTTGATGTTAGGTATGCTTTTTCTACAGTTGCAGCAGCGAAGCACTGCAACAGGTTGCCAATAAGGTCAGGAGATCTCATTTCCTCAATATATTCAAAATTCAACTGCTTAAGTCTCTGAACAACACTATTTGCCTGGCTTTCAGAGGGAAGGTTGGACCAGACACAAACCTCATGACCTCATGACAGACTTCTCACAACGAATTTACAATTTAAATTATTCTTTAACTATTTGTGAGTCTATAGATATAGGTGAGTCTTGTAGTTGGTCTCCAGCCAAAATAGTTTTGATATTCTCTCAGACAGAGAGTGTAATTCTGTCAGTTTTCCCACTGGATGGGAAAACTTGGATGAACACCAAATGCTGAAACCACTGCAAATAATGAAACTGCAGTCAAGTTAGGCAGAAATCATAAAATCAACAAACACTCATGAAAGTTATGAGGAGATGACTTTGGGTATAAATAGTTGACTGACATCCTTTCATGAGTGTCACAAAGCTGTATGTGATCAGGAGTCAGCTGCAGGATACAGTCTACCCCAGCTCCTATTCACATTTGGTTGGTTGGTTGTTCTTAAAGTTGTTATGGCCCACCCCATGAGGTGGGTAACTGAGGTTCTTGCTAATAGATGCCTTGGGGTGGATTAGGGTGAAGAGACACTGAATGACCACTGTGTATATATATATATATATATATATATATATATATGGCAGGTCTATTTTGAAACAATTTAGTTGCCATGGAAAGGAGTTATGTAGCCATTTTGGTTATTATCTATAGAAATACAGCAATATAAAAGTATAAAAATATCACTTAAGAAAATATAAGAGAAAGAAAGGATAAGATTAGATAGTAGAGAGGGAAGATATCACCACCTGTGGACAAATTTCGATGCCTGTTGGTAAAGGTGATGGTCACAGTCTTGATCCATTGGGGCTGGGGGCCCATGAAACCACATGTTTAGGTTCAGGTGAGAATGACCAGGTACCTCCCCTGGCGGGAGTTTTACACTGTCTGATATAACACTGTGCGTGCATGCACAGTCCTCTGGTGGAAGGCCTCAGAAATGAGTCTGGGGGTGCCTTGGGGGTCCTTGATGGTTTATGGCCCCTTCTAAGACATGACAGCTGCCTCTCACACCACTGTAGTTGAGGCAGTTATTCCCCATCAGAAAGGACGAAAACCCTCAGGCCTACATGTGAATGTCCCGATACATCCCTCTGGGGAGAGTTTTATACCTGAGCTTTATTGGAAGGCATGATAAAAAGCATTATCCCACCTCACAGAATCTGCCTTCTTACTGGCCTTTTCCCTTATCTGTCTCAAAACTCATCTTGTTGCTAAACCAAGGTTG